TTACCTCACTCTGCTGCTATCGCCAAATGCAAACACCAGCCCTTATGGGCAGCACCGTCACCAGGCAGCAAGTACCCTCCAGGCTGCAGCTGCCAATCCCTGGAGACCATCTCTCCCAAACCACTTCAAAGATCTGGCTGTGTGCCCTCCCACCCAAACTATTTAAATTCTAGTGTCCAGCAGGGCCCATTTCATCTAGATTTGCTTTTGCTTTCTTGGAAATCAATCCATTATTCACTTAGAAGAGAACAAGAGCAAAATTTTTCCCCTGAATTTTAAAAGTTGCATAAATACACGAATACATTTTCTCCATAAAATCTCAAACAATGTGGGCAAACTCAAAGTCCCCTTGCCGACCCCACTTCTCCCCTATTCCATCACCTCCTCATGGTGACCAGAGGGGCCCTTTGGGTTTAAACCCTCGGGTCTGATTTCCACATGAGGACTTCCATCAGAGTTTACAGAGCTTTTTCACCCAACAGCATGCCTTGGAGATCATTCTGCAGCAGTGCCCATACCTCAGAATAGAATTCTGCACCCTCCTTCAATTCATCATCCCTAGCATTTATATGGTTTCCAGTGTTTTTTTTTTTGTTTAGAGGCAAAACCACAATGAAAATTTCTCTCAAAGTCTCTCTCTTTTTTTAATTAATTAATTAATTAATTTTTTTTTGAGGCAGAGTCTTACTCTCACTCTCCGTAGAGTGCTGTGGGTGGCATCATAGCTCACAGCAACCTTAAACTCTTGGGCTTGAGCAATCCTCTTGCCTCAGCCTCCCAAGCAGCTAGAACTATAGGCATCAAGTAGCCACGACACCCAGCTAGTTTTTCTATTTTAGTCGAGATGTGGTCTCACTCTTGCTCAGGCTGGTCTCCAACTCCTGAGCTCAAGCAGTCCAACCACCTTGGCCTCCTAGAGTGCTAGGATCATAGGCATGAGCCAGCCTGCCCAGCCTTGCAATGTCTCTTTGTGCCATAGTCTGCCCATAAGATCTCTGCCTACTTGTGGAGTGGAACTGCTCCCCAGAAGGAGGCCTGCAGTTAACATTTTCATACAAAGGGCCAAACTGCCTTTCAGAAAACCCATTTCCATTCCCAGTAGTACAGGAGTGAACTTGCGTGAGTGTGCCTGCCACCCTCCACCGGCCCTGGCACAGGCCACTTTAGCAATCAACTCTCTGCCTCACTGACAGGCAAGACGAGATCTCCCAGTTTGGGCTGTCATTTGCTGGTTACTAACAAGGTAGGGTTCAACATCTTTTCATCTCTACATGGGCTGTTCCTTGTCCCTCTTCAGTCAACAGCCTGTTCACAGAGTGTCCCAGAAGTTGCCCCCAAAGCTGCCATACATAGAGAAAAGGGAAAATTCTGGCTAAGTAGACCTTTATCTACAAAATATTCATTGTGAAAAAAAAATTTTTTTTTGAGACAGAATCTTACCACGTCACCCTCGGTAAAGTGCTATGGTGCCACAGCTCAAAGCAACCTGAAACTCTTGGGCTCAAGTGATTCTCTTGCCTCAGCCTCTCAAATAGCTGGGACTATAGGTGCCCACCACAATGCCTGGCCATTTTTTGGTTGTTGTTGTCATTGTTATTTGGCAGGCCTGGGCTGGATTTGAACTCGCCTGCTCTGGTGGATGTGGCTGGCACCCTAGCTGCTGAGCTATAGGTGCTGAGCCTTCATTATGAAATTTTACAAAATATTCTCTACATGTTGGCTGTTTCTTTGTAAAGTAGGGTGATATTGGTGCCTGTAGCTCAGCAGCTAAGGGCACCAGACACATACATCAGAGCTGGC